AGAACTAAAAGGCTAATGTTGTTAAGTGCATTAAATCTGTGTTCTTATGCTTTGAATCCAAAGTAAAGTATCCTCAGCACAAGGTATATGGGCTGTGTTTCTCTACATTCTCTTGCTTTGTTGTTGCAGATCAGATGCAGCACAATATAACTTTCCAAGAATTTACTCTTTAAAGGTACTTTTGTTGAGTGGTGTGCTTTTATACTTAAATTTTGAGTATTACATTAACAGTCAAGTGTGGTGTATACAGTACTGTATGTGTTTTGTTAAAAGTAGAAGTTAAGAATATGTTTGTCCAGATTTCTTCTTTTACACACTATCTTTGATACATTTAGTAACATAAGCAAATAATGCATGCTAGTTTGTTCAATAAACCTGACATTGGAAACTTAAGTTTTTAAAATTTGTAAATAGGTAATGATATAGAAGTTCTTGCAACATATCTGTCCTTGACAAGGTGTTTCTGGTTACATTTACACACATGGCAGTTGGAACTTGCATTCATTACGCACTGCCATGGAAGACTACATTGCACTTTTAATTGTAATACAGAAGCAATATGAAAATGTTTTACATTTTTTCAAGATACTGTAAAACAAAATCACACTTTATTATACTGTACAATGTTTAAATTTTACTGGTTCCCAACTCTTAGTCACTAACTTACTTGGTTCATATCATCTAAAGGCTTATTCTTTTTATTTCATATTGTAAGTGATGTATGTAAGAGCTAAATTATATTATAAATACATATAGATTAATTCTATATAAATTATTTTAAAATTTGTGACACTACATTGTGCTGAGCTAAGCAGCTTTGATTACTTTGGGAAAAAAGTGCATGTACCTTCTTGCTATAAATATGGAACATGGCTTATTACATGAAATTTACATAATTAACAACACACTTCTACCAAACATAGTTTTATGTTTATTTTACAGGCTCACACTTTCCCAGAATACAGCCCAGATTTCTTGCCTGTACTATACCTGTATTGCATGTTGTATGTTATGTCTTTTCAGGTTACTAACACAAATCTCTAACACTTTGGGGTGCCTTGGGATTTTCTGTCGGGCATTTCTTAAGCCAGGTGGGTACTGAGGTGATTTTTGTTGTTGCTTTACTCAGACCTTTGTGAGCAGGAAATACAATCTGTTTTGTTCTTTAAGCTTATTTTTTAGATTCTAAAGCTGTGACTTATTGTTGAGAAAATGGAAAAATATCATACATTTCCAATGAAGAAAAGCAATGGGAAAGTATTAGACATCTTTTGCAGTATATTTTTAATGTATAATTTGACAGGAACAAGTGTTTTTTCTCTTAACTGTTATAAAACCACAAGTACAGTCCAGTACAGTAATTGAAATTAACGGGTAGAGGTAATAACAGGACTTAATGTGTGTATTTTCCATAGATTTTAGTAAATCTCGTAATTATGTAATTTTGGTAAATTTTAGAAAATGTTTGTTTTATTTATATCAGTCAAGATATGAATACTGTACTGTAATCTGATCCTTATAGATGATTAGATTATGATATGTAATTTTGAAATTCAGAGAATTCTGTATGTTACTGTACATTAATCTCCAAATCTGGAGATTTTTTAGGAAAAAAGAAAGATATTACAGAATACTTTTGAAGATAACATTTAATAAAATAATTACTCTGGACTTATCAAAGGTGGTACTTGATCACTCGGGGAAATCTTCGTTCATATACCGTACAGTATACTACAGTATTAGCTCGACACATTGTCAAAGATGACTTCTTCACTATATACCTTAGATTAGGGGTTCCCAAGCTTTTTTCAGTGCAACCCTATCCAGTGCTGTCACCTGTCCAGTACGATCCCAAGTCATAGGAGATCGTTGGACTGAAGAATCCAAGAATTAAAAAAAAAATTGGATTTTCTGACGAAATTCTTCTGAACTCTGGTAACCTTTTGATATATCGCTGGCAAGTAATCGCATTTAGGTGATTTTTGTTTTCTGTTGTCATATTACAGTACTGTAGTATTATAAGCAAATGACATTCAGTATTTAGTTTTATTAAAACTGTGAAAAGATTCACCTGACAACACCTATCAGCCAGTCTGATGAGCTGGTGAGATGTATTCTTTCTCAGTGCTTGGCTAGCCCATATGTTGCGTGGCTCGTCAGCCCCCGACCTAATATTCATGCAGTTTCCTCGGGCATTTTTAGACCACATCTTTAGCTATTAAGCATCTTATTTGATGTTCTCCCTTTTGTTGGCTACCACCAGTCCTTCCTTTATGACACTTTGAAGTAAGATGTTTATCACCTGACACCACCTAAAAAGAAAAGTAAACAAAATTCAGAGTATGATCCTGGGTTTATCATTCTAATGAGTTTTACAAATCTGGGTCAGCCTAATGAGTTCTAAACCTGGCAACAAAGAGAAAGGTGGTGCCTTTTGGTACCCTTGCTCTCTAGCAAATACTAATATCGTGCAAACTCAGGGGGCACCAGGTGCCAAGAACTTGTATAAAAATTGTCAAAGGTTTGTAATTCAAAACAAACATCTTGTACATAAAATTGTTAACCTCATACTCTAAAAGTTCTTGGACGATTTTTTATATTCAAATAGTATTAGATTCACCAATGATAGGCTTATATTAATATATATACAGTGGTCCCTCGGTTAACGAACACAATTCGTTCCAGAAGGTTGTTTGTTAACCGTAACCATTGTTTCAATGGGACTTTGGCTAATTGGTTCCAGCTCACCGAAAATTACATACAAACTAAAAATAACTGCAGTAAAGTGCACTTATTTTGAGGTGTGCATGTAGAAGGCTCCTGGTTGTTGATGATGATGATGATGATGGGAATTAGAATGGGGGTGGAGAAGGGAGAAGAGAAGGCATTGGGGTGGAAGAGAAGTCACCCCATGCCGCCATTTCACCCATAAAATTTTAGTTCACTCTCGTGTAATTCAAGATTATTTTCTTTAAATCAACACTGCCCTGCATTATACATTGTCAACATGGAAAATAAATTTCAAAATGACCAATAATTGTACTGTAAAAACGTAAAAATAGTTTATGTTCAAGAGAGTCTCAAGCAAGATGCTTCCTCCACTGACCAGACACAAATGACGACATTCTGGGTGAGTCAAGTGGCTGTTTGGTGCGCTTAAAACTAGTTCCCTGTACTTCAATTATGTTAAATAATTGTTAAAATGACTAAAATTTTAATATAAGACTTGGAAAATTATTGAATAGTACAACCTTCTTGATATTTACTCAAATAGTAACTAATGTAAGCCTAAAACCGATTACTGTATTGCCGGACTAAATACAGCTGGTGAGCGGTAAAAATATGTTGGGAAAAATTAGTAAGGATTTCGTTAACCGAATTTTTTCATTAACCTAATTTTTTCATTAACGAATTGAATATTCTTATGGAAGGTAACTGTTAACCGTGGGCGTTAGTTAATCTAGGATCACTGTACAGGTAGTTCTGCTATAACGCCGATAGTAGTGTTCTTCGTAAAACATCGTGTTATGAAATTCGTATAATAGAAATAACAGGGCTTATGGAGAATAGGGTTATTAGGTGCAGATTACTCCAAATCGAAAAAAAATTTCGTAGTTAGCCTTTAACACAAAGGATAGCACAGTTCAAATAAATGTTACATTCATATCTAATAATGAAATCATACAGTAAATGTTACACTCTTACCTTGAAAAAATATGAATATAACTTGATGGGGGATAAGGGTGATGTTGAGGCTGAGAGTCAGTGAAACACTCAAGCTTTTCTTCAAGTGTTATAGCCTTTCTTTACTTATCACCACACCGAAATGTATCACCAGAGTGCTTCCCAGAGATATTCTTCTTTCCATAGTCACAAAAAATGGAGAAACAGTAATCAGAATTCACTCGAGGACACTTAAAAACTTTGCCATCGCATTTCAAACAAAAGTGTGGAGTAAACAGAGCCGGTCTATAACGCTTATGTATTTTGTTTTTCTCTTATTTAAAAGTTTACATTTTTACATATACCGTACAGGTATACTGTATACATAAATATTACATAAATTATTTCTGCAATTCTCACAAACAAAACACATAAATCAATTGAACATGTGATGCTCTAACGGAACCGTAAACACTGCATAACCCCAAGCACTGCCACAATGTACAGTACACTTAAACGCTACTTATTTTGTTCTCTTATTTAAAATTTTACAATTTCTATATACTGTACAGGTATTTCTTTCACAAACAAAAAACACATAAATCAATTGAACAAGTGATTTAACGTGAATCAAACATTGAGCCAAGCCACAACACTGTACAGTACAATTTTAAACGCCACATTTAGTTTTCTTTCTTTAAATTTCTACAATTTACATATATATATATATATATATATATATATATATATATATATATATATATATATATATATATATATATATATATATATATATATATATATATATATATATATATATATATATATATATATATATATTTATATACATATATATATATATATATATATATATATATATATATATATATATATATATATATATATATATATATATATATGGTATATATATATATATATATATATATATATATATATATATTTCCCATGCAAACCAATAATGAAAACGTGGATAAGATAACACATGTGAAAATGGAACGAATTTTAG